GGGGGGGGGTCCGGTCATGGGGCCTGAACTCTGGGCCTGGGCGCTGTCCCTCAGCTCTTCAGCTCAAGGCTAGCGCTCTACCACAGCGCCACTTCCGGCTTTTTTTTTCTTTTTGCTTATGTGGTGCTGAGGAATGGAACCCAGGGTCTGATGCATGCAAGGCAAGCGCTCTACCACTGGGCTACCTTCCCAGCCAGGACATGAATACCTATTCTCTATGTCTTCAATGTCTAGAACCTGAGACTTTGCATTTGGATCAATCATTGCTTATCAAATAAATTGAAGTATCAGCCCTGCCACTAGGTGGCAACATAGTTATATGTGTGGAAATAGAATCTGGATATCTGGAGTTTCTCCTAAAGAGTAATAGGTATACTGCTGGAAAGTTACACGTGTAACTTTGAGAATCCTCTTCTAAGACAAATCTTCCCCGAGAAGGACTCATAAATGCTGATGTCTATATTGGCAAGTGCCCATTCTCTCTTGGTCTGTGCCACTATACTTCTGTGTCAAAGAGCTTTAAAATTATTCTGAGTGCCTTAATGAGGTTTGATTCTATTAACTAAAACCCTGTATTTTCTCAGTATCAAGGCATTCGCATGCATTTGTAGTTGGCTTTTTTTGTTCTGGTAGTTGGGTTTGAACTCAAGGCCTGCTTTCTCTCATTTGGCATTTTTACTACTTAAGCCACAGCTCAACTTCTGTTTTGTTTTGTTTTTGTTTTTTTGTGGTTAATTGAAGATGAAGTCACATGAACTTTTCCTTCCTTCCTCCCTCATTCCCTCCCTCTCTCTCTTTCTTTTTTTCTTTCTTTCTTTTTTCTTTTTTGTCAGTTGTGGGGTTTGAACTCTAGGCCTGGGTGCTGGCCCTCAGCTCTTCAGCTCAAGGCTAGCACTCTACCACTTGAGCCACTTCCCATTTCCTGGTGGTTCATTGGAGATAAGAGTCTCACAGACTTTCCTGCCTAGGCTGGCTTTGAACTGTGATCCTCAGACATCAGCCTCCTTGAGTAGCTAAGATTACAGTTGTGAGCCACCAGTGCCCGACTTCACACAAACTTTTCTGCCCAGGCTGGCTTTCAACAGATCCTCAGATCTCAGCTTCCTGAGGAGCTAAAATTACAGGTGTGAGCCATAGGTGCCAGCTTTATCTGGCTTTGATAACAGTTATTCCTGAAAGTTACAGAGCTTCTGGAATCAGACAAACCTAGTTGTCAATAGGTGTTTTCTCGTCTGAGAGGTTAGCCTTACTAACTTTATTCACTTTTCTCACAATATCTGCTTTATAAAGTTATGGAAAAGATTAAGTGAAATTGTATCTGTGAAGCATCTTATTTAATCCTGGGCTTCTAATAGGGATTCCATAACCAGTGCTGATTGAGACACCACAGCAGAAATGTCATGCCTGGTATAAACTTATTTACTTTATTCTGTGGATTTAAGGCCCTCTGCCATTAAATTGAGCTCATAACACCAGGTCTCGTAGCGATAGGCCATGCGGATCTGGGCCACATTTGTTCTCCGGATGTCGTTGCCAAGTGGTCCTTCCTCAAGGTAATTATCACCCAGAAACTTGACTTTCTCCTGCAAGATACATGGAAGCAGATTGTTGTTGCTTTTAACCTTGATGCAGGCAGTGATTGCATCTCCCAGGCTAGCATCTGCGTCCTACTCCTGTAGGCCTACTTTCTCAGGACACAGAGATCTGAGGATCGCCATTTGAAGCCAGCCCAGGCAGAAAAGTCGGAAAGACTCTACCTCCAGTTAACTGTCAAGAATGTTAGACTAGGGCTGGGAAGGTGGCTCAGTGGTAGAGCGCTTGCCTTGCATGCCTGAGGCCCTGGGTTCAATTCCTCAGCACCACATAAGAAAAAAGCTGGAAGTGGCGCTGTGGCTCAAGTGGTAGGGCACTAGCCTTGAGCTGAAGAGCTGAGGGACAGTGCTCAGGCCCAGAGTTCAGGCTCCAAAACTGGACCAAAAAAAAGAAAAAAGAATGTTAGACTAGCCTGGAATGGTGATCATCCTATCTCTGCCTCCCAAACACCTGAGACTACAGATGTGACCCATTGTGCCCAGCTCATAGGACAGCTTTTCTGTATGTGTGTCCCCAACTGATTTTCCAGTATTCAAGTCATCAGACCCTCCATCCAGAGGAGGAGCCAGTTAAGGACAGATATACCTGGTGAGAAAGCCCACACTGCAGAACACTGTTTCTCGCTACTTCGCACATGTCACAGGTGCTCAGCTTGAAGACCTGGGCAGCAATGGCATATTCCTCCATCAGGGGCTCCTGCAGTAATTTTTAAGTGGAGAAAGAGAGGAAGAATGCATTAACAAAAGAAATGATATGTACCTTACAACGACAATAATGAAGTATCTTCATTTGGCTTTCATGTTTAGGGTGGAAAATAATGGCTCAGTAAAACATACTTGTATTGCTCAAGATCTCACATGTAAGGCAGGCACCAGTAGCTCATACCTGGCATGCCAGCTACTCAGGAGGCTGAGAGCTGAGGATCTGAGTTCAAAGCCCGCCTCAGCAGGAAAAATCCAAGAGACTTTATTTCCAGTGAGCCACCAAAAAGCTAGAAGTGAAGCTGTAGCTCAATTGGTAGAGCGCTAGCCTTGAGCAAAAAAAGCTAAGCAAAAGTTTGAGGCCCTGAGTGCAAGCCTCAATACAGCACTAGATAAATAATCACACATGTATACCTTAGTGAAGTGGAATTGCATGGGGTCATCTGTAGACAGGGAGATCATTAGCCCTTTCTGGAGGAAATCTAGAAAGGGATTTTTGGCATATTCGAGAAAAAGGCTGTTGTTACTTAACGGCGACATGGCAATGGGAATCTGGGCTAAGAAAAACAAGTACTGCAACACCGCACTCTGAAAGGAAAAGGGAGAATCATTAACAGACAGACAGAACCTCGTGCCCCAGACAGCTTCTCGGTTCCCTTTCAACAACACAGTCGCTCTTTAACTCTTGTAAAGAAGGATTTTAGTATTTTTAATATGAAAACTATTTAAAATAAATGTATCTGGCATCATTCATCTTCTGAAGTATGAGTCCACTCAAGAGTTGTTTAAATTTGAGCTTTAATTTGCTCCATCTCTTGTCTGGGCTATCTGACTTAGCTCAAAGACTCTGCCCTGAGAGCTTTTTTCCTAGCTACACGAAAGCTCTGACTCCTACAAGAGACATTCGAACGCATGCTCTAACAAGAAATCTGGCCTGATCTAGCTCCAGGGGAAGCTAGGCTGCCTCGGACTTATCCCTGGTAGAGTCTGAGTTAGAATTCTTTTGTGATCTGTATTAACTCAGCTGGAGAAGCAACTAGGGCTTGAACTCAGGGCCTGGGCTCTGACCCTTAGCTTTTTCCTCTCTACCACTTGAGCTACTTCTCCACTTCTGGCTTTCTATTGGATAATTGGAGATAAGAGTCCCACAGACTTTTCTATCTTAGCTGACTTTGAACCTTGATCCTCAGCTCTCAGCCTTCTGAGTAGCTGGAATTACAGGTGTATGCCTAACTGAAAAACTTACGCTCAGTGGTAGAGTACTTGCCTAGCATGCATAAGCCCTCCTCAGTACCACATACACAGAAAAAGCTGGCAAGTGGTAGAGTGCTAGCCTTGAGCAAAAGAAGCTCAGGGACAGTGCCCAGGCCCTGAGTTCAAGACCCAAGACTGGCAAAAAAAAAAATTATGCTCTACATGAATTAGATCCCAGTGTTGGTAAGGACTTGTAACCCCGCGGTAGCAGGACAAAGAAGATACCTCCAACTCCAATCTAAAGGGGCTGGTGGCTCACACCTATAATCCTAGCTACTCAGAAGGCTGAGATCTGAGGATTGTGATTCCAAGCCAGCCTGGGCAGGAAAATCCATGAGATTCTTAATCTCCAGTTAACCACTCAAAGCCCAGAAGTGGTGCTATGGCTCAAGTGGTAGAGCACTAGCCTTGAGCGAAAGAGCTCAGGGACAACACCCAGGCCCTGAGTTCAAGCCCCACAACCCAAACAAAACAAAACAAAACACAAAAGGAAAAAGAAGCACCTCCAACTCACCTTTTTTAAGTTGAGGCCATGAGAGATATTATCCGCTATCATGAACGCTGTCATGAGGTGGGTGAGAGCCCCAGCTTCTCCACAGTGAGGCCGGAACAGAAATGTGTTCATGCCACGCTCCCTGCGGAGAGGAAACCACTGTAGGAACTGCAGTGTCTAAAAAAAAAATCAACAGTTGGGCTGGGAAGGTAGGCTCAGCGGTAGAGTGCTTGCCTTGCAAGCATGAGGTCCTGGGTTCGATTCCTCAGCACCACATACACAGAAAAAGCTGGAAGTGGCGCTGAGGCTCAAGTGGTAGAGCACTAGCCTTGAGCTGAAGAGCTCAGAGACAGTGCCCAGGCCCAGAGTTCAAGTCCCACAACCAAACAAACAAAAAAAATCAACAGTTGGGAAGGGAGCAGCTGTACTGTAAGGATTTGGGGACACATGATTCGAAATTATTGTCTTAACTATCTGACTAGAAACCTTTCCATGTGTGCAGGTACTGAGGCTTGAACTCAGGGCCTCAGACTCTGCTGGCCTTCTTGCTCTCAGCTGGCTCTGCCCCTTGAGCCACACCTCTACTTCTGGCTTTGTGCTGGTTCATTGGAGATAAGAGTGAATCAGACTTGTCTCCTGGGGCATTATAACCATTATGATTTCATCTGTTCCTTACCCAGAGATATGTAGAAGAGTAAGACACAAGAGGTTTTATAATAAATCGTATAAGTGAAAAGTGCAAATATCTAAATTTCCAATGCAAGATAAGTAAGTTACTGAAAGCAACAAGAGTGTCTATTCCTGGCCCTAAATGAATAAACTGAAGGAAAAATTAAGGAAAGAAATGTGTGTTTAGGCCAATCAGAAATACCACACAGGTGCGTGGAGGCCCTGGACAGAGAACCACAGGGCAGGAGGAAAGAGCTGGAGGGAGCCGCTCCCCCAGCGGGGTGGGTGGTACTTACTTTCGCAGGCTATTGAGTATGGTGATGTTTGCATACATGTAGTAGGCATAGTAAGTGTAGGACGGATTCTTTTCCATTGTCCAGTCCTCAGGTTTGGGACTCTTGGAGGAGAACATGTGGCCACTGTGTTTGGACTCATCATCCACGCTGTCAAAGCCAGTAATCTGTCAAGAAACAGACTTTCAGGCCAGGTACCAGTGGCTCACACCTCCAATCCTAGCTACCCAGGAGGCTGAGATCTGAGGCTTGAGGTTCCAAGCCAGCTTGGGTGGGGAAGCCCATGAGACTCTGATCTATGATTAACCAGCAAAAAGCTGTGGCTCAAATGGTAGAGTACCAGCCTTGTGTGAAAAAGCCAACCCAGAATGTAAGACCCTGCGTTCAAGCCCCTGTTCAGGCACAAACAAACATAGAAGAGGGAAAACTTTCAAGGAAAGGAGGAGGTATAAACACATAAACACAAGGATATAACATGGTGGGGAGGGGTAAGTTCCTGAGCAGCTCCCTACAGGCAGGCCTGCGTGCAGGGGTCAGGCTTACATGCTTGAGGAAGATGCTGAGCTCCGGGTGAGCCTGGGGGTTGATGGTGGCTTCGAACACTGGCATGAAAATATTCTCCAGCATCTTTCCAAAGTGTGGCAGGAAATTCTTTGTTCGGAATACATCACTGAAGGAAGAAGAAGAGGAAATTAAAAATAAAGGAAACAGCCGGGCGCTGGTGGCTCACGCCTGTAATGCTAGCTACTCAGGAGGCTGAGATCTGAGGATCGCGGTTCGCCAGCCCGGGCAGGAGAGACCGTGAGACTCCTATCTCCAATAAACCACCAGAAAACCGGAAGTGGCGCTGTGGCTCAAGTGGTAGAGCGCTAGCCTTGAGCTGAAGAGCTGAGGGACAGCGCCCAGGCCCAGAGTTCAAGCCCCACAACCGCCAAAATAAATAAATAAAGGAAACATTTTAGGGTTGATGGCTTCAGGGTAGGGAATCAAGGACCAAGTACTTGTGTGCGGGATGATGATTCAGAGCTGGGCATCTGTGGCTCACACCTGTCATCCTGGCTACTCAGAAGGCTGAGATCTGAGGATCACAGTTTGAAGCCCAGCCTGGGCAGAAAACTCGTTTCCAATTAACCAGCAAACAGCCAGAAGTGGAGCTGTGGCTCAAGTGGTAGAGTGCTAGCCTTGAGCACAAACACCAAATAAGAGTGCAAGGCCCTGAGTTCAAGTCCTAGGACTGGTGTGCGCTCAGGCATATGCATACATACACACACACACACACAAAATGCCTTGACCACATCTGCCCTCTGTATTCTTCCCAAATGCCTGTCAAGAAGGCTGTCATGGGCTGGGAAGGTGGCTCAGTGGCTTGCCAAGCATGCATGAAGCCCTGGGTTTGATTCCTCAGTACCACATACACAGAAAAAGCCGAAGTGGCACTGTGGCTCAAAGTGGTACAGTGACTTCCTTGAGCACAGAGAGGCTCAAGGACAGAAGCCAGGCCTTGAGTTCAAGGTCCAGGACCAGCAAAAAACAAAACAAAAACAAAAAAGGCTGTCATTATCAAATTCTTGGCTTTGCAAAGTCCATCTGGAGGTGGCATTGCTGAAGTTTGACAGAATGTGCTTCAAGCTTAGGCTGGTCTGAGGAACAGACCAGGGGCTCCTATCTTGTCTACAGAGAATGAGGAGCACAACAGGGGCATGCTGGAGGTTCAGGGGTGCATGGTGGAAAAGGCAGCTAGCATGGTTGGTTATCGAGGGCTCCCTTCTGGGGTCCCAACAAGCTTCAGCCCTTCAAGTGGCACAGTCACTTTTCTCAGTTATGAAAAGTATTAACGAGGCAGCTGCCAGTGGCTCAGGAGACTGAGATCTGAGGATCACAGTTCAAAGCCAGCCTAGGGCAGACAAAGCTGACATTGATTTCTCCAGTTAGCCAGAAGCCAGAGTGGAAACTTGACTCAAGTGGTAGAGTGCTAGCCTTGAGTGGAACAAGAAGCCCTGTGTTTAAGCCTGAGTACTGGCAAAAAAAAACAAAAAACAAAAACACCACAAAACCCTAGGCTGGCCCTCCTAGGAACTGTGTTGTGACTTGGGCACCGTTTTTGCCTCTCTTGAGGCATAGGGAGGTCACAGACCACACGGCTAGGGTGTGATGAGGTGACCAAGCCCAGGAGTGGGTGTGGGGGTGTGCCAGAGAGTGTGGAAAGGAGCTAGATAAAAGTTCCGGGTGCTGAGGCTGGGAAAGTGGCTCAGTGGTAGTGTTTGCCTCGCATGCATGAGGCCCTGGGTTCGATTTCTCAGCACCACATAAGCAGAAAAAGCCAGAAGTGGTGCTGTGGCTCAAGTGGTAGAGCGCCAGCCTTAAGCTGGAGAGCTCCGGGATGGAGGAGGGTAGCCAGGGCGTGTGGAGCACTGCAGTGCTGTGGTCAGGCAGCCAGCAGCCTGTGGGGAGGGCTCTGGGGAGGGCGAGCTGGGGATGGCAATCCTGTAAAGCTGGGCCTGAGGCAGGGGGCCCCCAGTTCCAGGCTAGCCCGGGTCATGTGGGCTCATCAGGCAGACGGTGGAGAGGTCCCTGCTCAGTGCAAATGAACATGGGACATGAAAAAATACCAAGGTGTCGGGGTTGGGAAGGTGGCTCAGTGGTAGAGCGCTTGCCTTGCATGCATGAGGCACTGGGTTCGATTCCTCAACACCACATAAGCAAAAAGAAAAAAGCCAGAAGTGGCGCTGTGGCTCAAGTGGTAGAGCGCTAGCCTTGAGCTGAAGAGCTGAGGGACAGCGCCCAGGCCCAGAGTTCAGGCCCCACGACTGGACCCCCCCCCCAAAAAAAAACACACCAAGGTGTGTGTTCTAAAATGTATTCAGTTCTTAGTTTCCGGCTAGAAATCTGCACTGAAATAACCTTCCTCCTGTTTGGTAGAGAGCACTGAACCATGTGGGGTAAATCCTAGCATCCAGTCCCTAGGACTGGTTTTTGACCTAGTGATCTGTACAGTGTGCAAGTGTGTGCATGTGTGTATGCATGTGTATGTGTGTGCGTGCATGCCTTATACTCTCACTTGGCTTTTTTCCATTCAAGGCTGGCTCTACCACTTGAGCCACACCCCTATTTCAGATTTTTGCTGGTTCATTAGAATAATAGTCACTCCCAATTTTCCCACCTGGGCTGGCTTCAAACCGTGATCCTCAGATCTCAGCCCTGTAAGTAGCAGGGATTACAGGTGAGACCCAACAGCAGCCTCCTTCCTGCTGTGTTGGGGGCAGGCAGGCTGTGTTGGGGTTGGGCACGTACTAGATCCTGGGGACCTGGACCATCCACGTCATGTTGGGGCAGTAGATGCGGTTGCAGACAAACCAGGAGGCGAGTTTGCTCCACTCGTCAGGGCTGCGGCCATAGATGGACAGGCGGGGCTCTGCGTGCTGGTACTTGGCCTCCACCAGGTCTGTGCCAACTTCCTGAAGAGAGAGAGGGGAGTACAAAGCCAGGAGCTCATGCCAGTCCTCGGGCAGGCAGGCCTGAGGGACGTAGGCTGAACAGCAGGGCACTCCAGACAGCACATGTGAAAGGGGATGGAAAAGCATCAAAGGTTAATGGATGAGAGATTAAGCCAGCCCCACCCCTGCCTCCTCCAGAACTATGCCGGGCTCCCACCTTGATGATGGTGGCAAAGTACTCCCCGTTGATAAAGTTGTCTGTCTTCAGGTAGAGGTCCCGCAACTCGCTGGCCCCCACGGGGTTGTACTTGTCGTTGAACTTGTCGAAGCGCTGGAACGTCTGGCGCCCCTGAGTCAGGAAAGAGCAGCAGTGCTGCGTGAGTGGCAGGGCCGGCCGGGCAGTGACCATGCAGCACGGGCACAGGCTCAGGCACGGAAGAGACTGGATTCCAGCCGTGGACTCGGGCACAATCGGCAATGAGCGGACCTCAAAGCCAGCCAAGGTAGAGAAAGAGGAGCTATAATAAGGGAGAGCGGAACAACATCTGTCCAACCTACAGCGTGAACATCCAGAGAGTCAACCGTCAGGTCATAGGGATGCATTTTTAATTTAGCAAAAAGCTCCTTTAAGGTCAGCTTCTTCTCTTTGGTGCTATAGACCACTCTGTCTGCATCCACCTGGTAGGATTTCTTAATAAAGCGCAAGAGATGTTTCTGGTTCATGCAGGCTGCCGCGTGGATGTGGGTGTCCACCTGTGTGCACAGAGAAAAAACCAGCAGTGAGCTCCAGGACACGGGACAGGCTGAGACACCTGCAGCACCCTGAGAGTCACACGATATGAAAATGGGCCGATGGCTCACACGTGTAATCCCAGCTACTCCTGAGGCTGAGAGCTGAGGACCAAGATTCAAAGCCAGCCTAGGCCAGAACGTCCATGCATGAGACTCTTATCTCCAACAAACCACCAAAGAGTCAGAAGTAGAGCTGTGGCTCAAGTGGTAGAGCATCAGCCTTGAGTGAAAAAACTAAGGGTCAGCACCAAGTCCCTGAGTTCAAGCTCCAGAATGGACATACACACACACACACACACACACACACACACACACACACACACACACGTGGCATCTGGATTACATGCAGTGTGCTGTTTACTTCTGGAGTTACACACCCATCCTCCCCACTGGAAATGCTGAGCAGGCAATCCTGCCATTACAGCTCCCTTCTCAGACAAGGGATCCACTGCCTACAGCTGGGATCTGAATGATGTGGGAGGCTGAGATCTGGAGAACTCTTGGCAGCCAGCCCAGACAGAAAGGCTGCAAGAATAAATCTGCAGCATAACCAGCAAACAGCGAGGCTCGAGGCAGTGCTCACATGATGGAGTGCCAGCAGAGCAAGCATGACATCTTGGGTTCAAGCCCTAGTACCAACACACACACACACACACACACACACACACACACGCATATCATGCTTTGTTTCAAAGCCATGGCACAGGATATGTGGTAGATACATTAAAAAAAAATTTATTCTTGTTATTAAGGTGATATCCAGAGGGGTTACGGTTACATAAGTACATTTCAGTTATTTCTTAAAGTAAAAGATAAATTCTTTCTCTTTTGTTCTGCTACTGGGATTGAACTCAGGGCCACAAATTTTCCTTGTGCTTTTCTGGCTATCACTTGAGCTGCAGCTGCCTTTCTAGCTTTTTGGTGTTTCCTGGGAGGTAAGCTTCTCTAAACTTTCTGCTTTGGCTGGCTTTGAACCATGATCCTCAGATCTCAGCCTCCTGAGTAACTAGGATCACAGGTGTGGGTGCCTAGTAGAAATTATTCTTTTAATCTTTTAGACATGATCCATTTGCTTTCACTACCTGGAGAAGTTTTAGATCAATCAGAGAGTGGTGTTGTCCTCCAAGAGGACTCCCAGCTCTGAGGGGCCTGGCTCTCTGCCTGGCTGCCCAGCTGCCCGCCAGCCCCCCCGCCTGGCCAGTTACCTTCCTGCAGTTGTAGAAGTCTCGGTGTGGGTTGTTCTTTAGTTCCTTCATCTCATCCATCTCATTCAGCATCTGATGAACCTGGAACTTGGATGAGAGGAACTTTAGGCGCCGGTGGGTGTAGGTCTTACTGTGAAAAATAAAATTACATAATTCTAAAAAAAAAACCAGAAACAAAACATGCAGAAAACAGCCACAGCTTCGAGGTCCTCATGGCTCAAATGACACACAGGAAACAGCTATGGGATCGGATGTTCAGGTTCCTTAACAAGCTGGCTACTGAGCTCTGTTTTTTTCATTAAAGCTGGATAGAATTTGAGGGAGGACTTTGGAGGCATTTCTTTTGTGCCAGTACTGGGGCTTGAACTTGGGGACTCATGCTCTTGGCTTTTTCACTCAAGGGTGCTGCTCTACCACTTGAGCCACAGCTCCACTCTACTCATGTGCTGGTTAATTGGAGATAAGAGTCTTGTGGACTTTTCTACAGTGGCTGACTTTGAATCAAGATCCTCAGATTTTGGTACCTCAGAAAGCTAAATATAGGTCTCCTCTATGACCCAGCCATACCACTCCTAGGCATCTACCCTGAGCAACAGGAACCAGGATATGACAAGGACACCTGTACACCCATGTTCATTGCTGTACTGTTCACAATAGGCAGGGTATGGAAACAACCCAGATGCCCCACCACAGACGAATGGACCCAAAAGTTGTGGTACCTATACAAATAGAATATTATGCACCCATTAGAAAGGACAAAATAATGGCATTCGCAGGGAAATGGATGGAACTAGAAGAAATCATTTTGAGTGAAGAAAGTCAAGAACAGAGAGGCAAATGGCACATGGTCTCCCTGATATGTGGATGTTAAATTCAAAATGCAAGGAGACATGACAACATAAACAGGACTTGAGAAATAAAGGACCTCCACTCATTTTGTCATATCCTTACTAAATGATCCCATGTTCTTTTTTTTTTTTTTTTTTTGGGTCCGGTCGTGGGGCCTGAACTCTGGGCCTGGGTGCTGTCCCTCAGCTCTTCAGCTCAAGCCAACCCCCCACCACTTGAGCCACAGCGCCACTTCCGGCTTTTTTCTGTTTGCTTATGTGGTGCTGAGGAATCGAACCCAGGGTCTTGAGTATGCAAGGCAAGCGCTCTACCACTGAGCCACCTTCCCAGCCCGATCCCATGTTCTTGACCATATATATATGATGTACACACACACACACATGTATGTATGTATATATATATATATATATATATATATATGCACATCTGAGGGAAGCTAGAAGGAGGACACAGAATCAGAGGGAAACAGGAAAATATACAACTGAGGGGCCTATCAGCTGCACTGGACATTGGTGAAAATGAACTAAGTAACTCAATGGCAGCGATGGGACGGAGGGAATGAGAGGGAAAGAGAAAACAGCAAAAGGAAAGAAATGTAAATACTACCTGATGTGGAAGAAATAGCTGTATTGTCAAAGCTCATAGAATTCACAAACTTTATAGACCAAGATAATGAAATTTGCCTTGTGAAGGTTAAAATGTGCTTGTGACTTTAACTTAATATCACTATCCCACAATACTGTGAAATATGTGAAATTTATGTAATCACAGTCTCAGTAACAATTATATATATATATATATATATATAAATTAAAAATCCCACATAAAGCCGTCATGAAGAGAAACAATCTACACGAAGGGTTTGGAGTGGTGTTTGGACAAGGTGAGCAGGACACTGACAGGGCTCCGTAGCACTTACACTGGCCCTTGGGCAATTAAGGCAAGCAGGAAGTTCATGTCATCCAAGAACTCTTCCAAGTTGGGGTATGGGTATGGTGTGGGCTCGTTCTTGCTGGCCGCTGCTTCGTTGGGGTAGATGTAAACCACGCCACCTTTCATCTGGAGGTGACAGCCCAGGTTGGCTGGAAGGTCATCAGTGCGGAAAGGGTCTTCTCCCTTCTTTGGGGGAGGGGTGAAGACTAAAACACAGTCACATATCAGCACTGGAGGTAATGATCACGGAAAAATAAAACACAAAATGCTGCTTATCTCCTTATTTGGTATCCCATCCTTCATACATTGTCATTATCCAACTTTATTTCGTGTGTTTTCACATTAATTTTTCCAAAGTGACTCTGCCAGATGCCAGTGGCTCACATCTGTAATCCTAGCTACTCAGGAGACTGAGATCTGAGGATCAAGGTTCTAATCCTGTCTGTGCAGGAAAGTCTGTGAGACTTATTTCTAGTTAACCAGCAAAAAGCCAAAATAGAAATGTGGCTCAAGTGGTAGAGCACCAGCCTTGAGCAGATAAAGCTAAGGGACAGCGCCAAGTCCTGAGCTCAAGTCCCCTTATAGCTCGTGCATGTGCATGCAAGCACACACACAGACACACACACAGACACAGACACAGACACACACACACACACACACACACACACAAATGTCAGACGTCTCCCTAAACCAAGGTATTTGGATAGAAATGTTGTGTGTTAGTATGTGTCAGTATTAAGGCTCAAATTCAGGGCTTCAGGCTCTGACTTGTCTTTTTCATTTAAGCTGATGCTCTACCACTTAAGCTACACCTCTACTTCCACCCCCCCCTTTTTTTTTGCCAGTTGTGGGGCCTGAACTCTGGGCCTGAGAGCTGTCCCTCAGCTCTTCAGCTCAAGGCTAGTGCTCCACCTCTTGAGCCACAGCGCCACTTCCAGCTTTTTCTGCTTATGTGGTGCTGAGGAATCGAACCCAGGGCCTCTTGAATGCAAGGCAAGCACTCTACCACTGAGCCACCTTCCCAGCCCAAACTTCCACCTTTTTGATAGTTAATTGGAGATAAGAGTCTCTTGGATTTGTCTGCCCAGGCTGGCTTTGAGCTGAGATCCTCAGATCTCCTAAGTAGCTGGGATGACAGGTGTGAGCTACAGGCACCTATCTGTAAAACCCTTCTACGTGACCTGTAATCACCTTCTTGTATCACCCGAAGGGATTCCATTCCCCTACAAACACTGTGTCCTCCACACGGAGTGGTCAGACTATAAAGGGAAATACAGTCTACTCCCCTTACACGGGTTGATTCTTATTTTGAAGACGTTTGCCAGGTATGTGAAGTCTACCTAAGGATTTTCAAAAGGATTAAGTGGGTTAATGTCTGCTTCCTTCCCCTGTTGACAGCTTCAGCCCTGAAGGCCAGGAGCGCATTCCGCACTGTCAGCCTCTTGTGGTCCGCGGACACACTCGCTCATATGGCTTTCTCCTGGGCCCAAGGAAAACATCAGAAAGTCACCTCTCCTGGGAGGGGCCTGTAATCCTACCTGGGGCTGAGATCTGAGGATCTCATTTCAAAGCCAGCCGAGGAAAACAAATTGATGGGACTCTTACCTCCAGTGACTCCACAACAACAAAATACCATAAAACTTTCATGCACAAGTCTAGAGGCTTGTTTGTTTATTCTTTGTTGGTGCTGGGGCTTGAACTCAGGGCCTAGGCTCTGTCCCTCGGCTTTTTCACTCAAGATTAGTGCTCTAACACTTGAGCCACCATTCTACCTGCTGCCTGTCCCTCCCCCCCCCCACCTCAGCTTTTTGGTGGTTAATTGAAGATAAGAGTCTCATGAACTTGGCTGCCCAGGCTAGCTTTGAACCTGGGATCTCAGCCTCCTGAGCAGCTAGGCCTCCATTGCCAGACTCGGGTAGCTTATTTAAAATCCAGTCTGAGTTAGTTAACCCGGAGCCTCTCTTCCCGGCGAGGGTGACACAGGGGCCAGTTACCTGGGTAGAAGCTCTCTATGGCCACCCACGCTTTGCCATCAATGTTCCTCAGGTACTTGGATGGGGTCTTGGGGAACCTCTGCGAGGACTTGCGCATGTACTTCTCCCGGATACACAGCGCTCGATACAGCCCCTGACACACCACCTCAAAATCCTCCACTGCCACCTGCCAGGGAGACATCTCGGGGTCAGTGCGGCCCCAAACAAGGAGACACACACTTTTTTTTTTTTTTTTTGCCAGTCCTGGGGTTTGAACTCAGGGTCTTTCGCTCGCTTGGCTTGCTTGCTCAGTTGGTGTTCCACCAAGTGAGTCACACCTTTTTGTGCAGCTTTTTGCTGGTTTGAGATGAAGTCTCTTGGATATTTCTGCCTGGGCTGGCATTGGGTGGAGATCCTCTGGATCTCAGCCTCTGAGCATCTAGGATGACAGATCTAGGGTGAGGCAGCAGTGCCTGGCAATCTACTCATTTCTTTATGTTCTTTTGAACTCCTGCCTCCTCCAAAGTCCCATGGACTTATCACGATTTACTATTCCCATGTCAACTGTTGAGTATCTAAAGCCCTGTTGTCTGCAGACCACTCTGGTCCCATAAGGAGAAGCGAGCACTGCTTGGTTTCATTGCTCTGGCATGTTGAGGTGGCCTGAATGGCAGGTTACATGAGAGGGGCTCCGGGCTGCTCGGCAGAGCTATATTTGGAGCAGGGACCCGTGGCTCAATGGCAGCTTCACCAAGACGGGCTGACGCTGCAAACCCGAGGGGCAGAGATTTATTCCTTGGCCATCTGTTGGGGGGATGGGTGGGCAGGCGGCTGTGACTGAGGCCTCCCATCCTGTGCTCCTGGCATCTACTGCAAGAGTGCCTGGTCTGCCCTGAAATCCCAGCATTCACTGGGGCAGAAAACAAAAGCTTCTGTTAATGACCTTTTGTCTTCCTTTTTCCCCCAGCCCTTTTCCTCCTCCTCTTCCTTCTCTTCCTCCTCCTTGCTTGGATTTTCCCCACATGGCTATGGCACTCTACTATTGGAGCCACAGCTCCACTTCAGGAGCTTTTTGCTGGTTCACTAGAGATACAAGTCTCTCACATTTGTCTGCCTAGGTTGGCTTCGAACGTCAACCCTCAGATCTCAGCCTCTTGAGTAGCTAGGAGGACAGGTGTGAGCCACAGCACCTTGGCTTCCTTTCTTCTCTCTCAGCACTCCTTCTCAGATCTGCTTCTCTTTAGTTGATGGATGCTACCTGAAGCCTTTCCCCATCCCCTTGGCTGCCAGAGGACGTGCCCCTGCTGGGCACCCCTGGGACTCTTGGGACCTCCTTTCTTGTCTTACAGAAGCACCAGCAAGACCAGCCCAGGGCTGGGGATGGCAGTGTGGGAATGTAAGCCATTCCTTGCCGCTGCTGGAGTTCACCAGTGGAGGAGCCAGTGGGAAGGAAGGATGATGGAGCTGCAAGGGAGGACTGTGCTATGCTTCCCGCAATCAGAACCCCTCACCCCGGAGGCGTAGTCGCCTGTGATCTGCACCCTCTGGAAGTCGGGCACTTCCTGGTAGGTGGGAGAGGAGGAGATGAAGTCGTCGATGTGGGACAGCTGGGTGGACGACGTCTCGCTCTGAGGAATGGACAGGTTCACAGTCTTCCGCCCCTGGAAACGCTTTTTTCTGCATTTGGAATTGAAGAACAAGGGTCAGCTCTGCAGTCTTCATTGCAGGGGGTGGTGAATGGGGAGGTGGGGCGCTGGCCGGAGCACGGCCATGGCGCCCAGGCACAGCGCCTTCCACCACCCAGCATGCAGCCCACTGAGGCTGGGTGCCCACTCCCATCTCCGTGGTGAGCATGTGCACACCCAGTGTGCGTGGCACAGGAGCCTCCAGTGGGTCAGGAGGTGACACACCGGAGTCCCGCTGCTCCTCTGTGTCCACTGCTGGTGCCCTGGGTGGTGCCGTGGATGGAGAGCCCGAGGCCTGTCTGCTCCAACTTCCTGCCTGGGGCCCTCCCCACCCCTCCTCTGGCCCTCCCTCCCTCCTTCCCTTACCCACCTCCTCCCCTCCACGGAGACGGACACAGTCTCCATGTGGAGCATGTGTGCCTGCATCTCCCGGAGAGAGATTGGACAGATCTCGTCCACATCGAAGGGAGAGAGCTCATGCCGGCCTCCCTCATCCTTCACCTCGGAGGCAAAGACCTTCTCAGCAAAGCTGCGCATTGCATCATCGATTTCTGCAAGAGGTTGTTGCACATTAGTGTTCGTACCCCCCCCCACACACACACTTTGGGCTGATTACTGGGCGTCTGAACTCAGGGCCTCCAGCTCTTGCTTGGCTTTTTCAGTCAAGGCAGGTGCTCTTCTACTTGACCCACACTCTACTTCTGGCTTTTTGCTTTCTGGCTTTTTGCTGGTTAATGAGAGATTAGAGTCTCACACTTTTCTGATCAGGCTGGCTTTGAATCACAATCCTCAGATCTCAGCCTCCTGAGTAGCTGGGATTATAGACGTGAGCCACCCGTGCAGGGCTATTCTGGTCTGGTTGTCTGCAGAGCAGGGTGCTCACACCTGCGTGCTGTCAGACACTGAGGGTGATCATTAATTAATGCATGTGGAAGTGCTGTAAGGAGAGTGAAATGCCAGGTTCAACGGAAGGATGCGATTGGCAGCACTGGAGTTTGAGGTTCGCTTTGAGCCATTAAGACAGGGATGGCTGGTGTGACTTAGAACCTGAGGAAGCGTGTATATTAACCCCTGGCTCCCACCCAGAACGTTGTCCCCCGGCCATCAGGTAAGATCCGTGTTAGTGTCCTGCCAGTCCAACTGAGTGCAGAGGCCTGCCTGGGCCTGACCATGGAAAGCATCTTGGGAGGCAGTTAGTAGCTCATCAGCAAGCACCATGGTCCACAGAGAAATGAACAGAATGACTAAGCAGGCAGCTGATGGGGGAAAAGGCCTTCCCCCCTGCCAACCACTCCCAGAAATAGCGCCGTCCCACAAGCATTCCAAGTAGGCGCTCGCTTGCTAAAAGTGCATGGCATGCTGTGAGGGAAGGCGTTGTGCACTGAGAAGGGCACGCGGGGAGCAGCCAGCCAGTCACCATGATGAAGATGACAACGGCACAGAATCTTCATCTGGACCTGAATGCTGCAGGAGGTGCAGCAACCAGGTCCCAACACAAATCCTGTTGGTTTGCATGTCCCGAACCACCTCTCCCTATCTGTGTCATAGTCCCATGCAGCCCTGTCCTTGCTCTACACTAAGATCATGTCTTTTGGAACTAAACAGCTGAAAAGTAGAAATGCTGCTCTCAGAAGTTAGTTTATGAAAAAGTACATGGTTGATAGTTCTTTCCAAGTGGCTATTTCAACCTCATGAAACCGAACCCCTAATTTGAGAGCCTGGCCTTTCAAAAATACTTCTGGGAGCAGTGACAGTGAAGGGAGGCGGGGCGGTGGGCATAGAAGGTGGAAGGCAGAGGAAGCTAGTGTTTTCAAGGATGAGTTGATACAGTCAAGTGACAGACTGAATTCAGCAAGGAGAAACAGTCCCGTAGGTTTGCACAGATGGGTACTCATTCTTGTTGTTGTTGTTGCTTGAGATAATGGGATGGATGTCTGTGTGGCGAATTTTTTCCTCCCCAGTCCTGACGCTTGAACTCGGGGCCTGGGCACTGTCCCCCAGCTTTTTGCTCAAGGCTAGCACTATACCACTAAGCCACATTCCCAGCCTGTGTAGCAACATTTTGAGGATAAAATATCTGTATTTGGATAAAGAATGGGGAGGGGGAGCAGGACGAGGGAACAGAACTCTGGCTTGGAGTGGAGAGGAGATGCTGGTGACAAGATGGCCTCAAGCACAGGGCACTCGGTGCTCAGCCTCACGAGGAGAGGGTTAGTAAGTCAGCTCTGGGAAGTTGTTATGAAGCTTCCTCAGGACAGACCTCCAAAAGCCATGTACTACCACTCAGAAACCAGGTGACTACCATGAAGAGGTACCAGGCCCTCAAGAGCAGATCATCATGCTTCCATCTCCAGCCACCCCATCCAGAAAAGCAGGTGTATTTCTCCACAGTGTGCACTAATGTGCAGACAAGACTGCCTTGGAGGGGAAACAAAGACAGCCCCACCACCGGTCAGTAAATGACATACATCAGGAATTTAGATCGTGGGCGCAGACAATGAAGCGAGAGTACTATCTAAAATGAACTTTGATTTTAACTGGTCACAAAAATTGATAACAGAAAATCTTTTTCCAATACACTTGAGGATTATTTAAAACTAGACTCAATAAACTCCCCTCGGCAGATCTGTGGTGTTTGATTTCAAAATGTCAATTAAGTGCCCTATGGGGTCTCTTTAAAACATAGTGGGTATTTTGCATTGTTTTAATTTTTGTGGGTTTTACAACCCAAGAAAGTGTGGATTTTTTTACAGTCATTATTAATCTTTGTTTACTTTTCAATTTCTTTGTAAGTCAATACTAGGGTTTGAATTCAGGGCTTCATGCTCTTGGCTTGGTTTTTTGCTCAAGGCTGGAGCTCTATAATTTAACCATTATTAATTCAAGATTAATTGGTGGTAAGTGTCTCAGATTTGTTCAAACTAGGTTCCAAGAGTGAGCATCAGACTTCAGCCTGAGTATCTGGGATTACAAATATGAGCCATAGGCACCAGGCTTAATCTTTATTGTTTGAATGGTGTAATTGAATAAACACTGATGAGAAATAACCATGCTTCTGAATTAAGGAAAAATATCACTTCTTTCACTGATACTCTGGCAAATGGCAGTAAAAAAAATAGTCTAAGGTACTCACGTTTTCCTTCTGCTGTATGAGGTAAAATAAAACAAGGTACAATATATGAACAATTGTCAGAAGTCAGGGTAGCTTTTGCTAGTGCTTTGGAATACAAACATACAGACTATACACAAAAGAGACATGGTTCCAGAATAGGCTTCTACTTCTCTACAGTTTGCTGCTGTCAGAAACACTGGAATACATCTGTCTGTCTGTCTATCTATCTATCTAATTTATTGTGTCAGTACTGGGGCTTGAACTCAGGGTCTTGAGTCTCACTTAGCTTTTTACTCAAGACTAGCATTCTACCACTTGAGCCACAGTTCCACTTCCATCTTTTTGGTGGTTAACTGGAAGCCAGCCCAGGCTGGCTTCAAACCCTGATCTTCAGATCTCAGTCTCTTGATTAGCTAGCATTCCAAGTGTGAGCCATCACACCCAGATCCTGGTTTGTTTTGTTCCTGTGTTTCTTTTCTTTTCTTTTTGCCAGTCCTGGGGCTTGAACTCTGGGCCTGGGGGCACTGTACCTGAGCCCTTTTTTGCTCAAGGCTAGCGTTCTACCACTTGAGCCACAGTGCCATTGCCAGTTTTTTCTGTGATTAATTGGAGATAAGAGTCTTGAGGACGCCAGGCTCCAGTGGCTCACTCCTGTAATCCTAGCTTCTCAGGAGGCTGGATCTGAGGATCACAGTTCAAAGCCAGCTCTAGCAGGAAGGTCCCTGAGACTCTTATCTCCAATAAACCACTAGAAAACCAGAAGTGGTGCTGTGGCTCAAGTGGTAGGGTGCTAGCCTTGAGCTGAAGAACTGAGGGACAGCGCCCGGGCCCAGAGTTCAAGCCCCATGACCAACAAAATAAATAAATAAATAAACCAAAAAACAAAAGAGTCAGTCTTACAGACTTTCCTGCATGGGCTGGCTTTGAACTGCGATCCTCAGATCTCAGCCTCCTGAGTGGCTAGGATTATAAGCATGAGCCACCAGTGCCTGTTTTGTTGTTGTTGTTTTTTTTAAATTTTATCTTTTGATGGTGTTGCTAGGCTTTGAACTCCATGTCTCACGCTCACTAAGTACTCTACTACCCGAGTCATAGCCTCAATTCTATTTTCCAATTTTTCTAAAGGAGTTTATTACTTTCATTTTCAGTGTAATTTTTCTTTTATTTCACATGACACATGCATTGCTTTCTATAGTGAAACATACTTATGACTGCTATTTTTTAACTACTCTGTTACCAACCCAGGGTTGTAAATCCACCCGAATGCATGGAGGTCTGGTGCTCATGAACTATTCAGCTAGAGACATTGCATATAGCTCCTCTCAGAAATGTTACAGCCCAGATTTTGCTTAAACTAGCAGCATATACCTTAACCAGCTCACAGCTTCCTACGGGAGCTCAACCTCCTCCCAAACGAAAGCAAAAAAGACACAGGCTGTTCTGCCTCCTCCTGAACTGTGTTATTCAAGTTATTCTGGGCCGTACGTACAGAACTATCAAAACTGAGATGATAGGACCAGAGCTCTCCAAACGCTTCTTCTGCACACCTACCTGGCAGTTTGAACAGAGGCATTGTTGCTAAGGCTCCTTGGTTCTAGGAGAGCACGACAGAGAGAGATAGATAGAGAGAGAGAGAGAGAGAGAGAGAGAGAGAGAGTAGGGATGGCTGACACCGAAAAATCCCGACACTCATTTTATCGTTTCGCTTTGCCCCCTGTAATGTGACCCTTCTCTGCTAAAAGAAGAGGGATGAGCTTGACATCTATTAATAACTTTAGGCAACTGACAGATGAAAGCAGGTGAAGTGTGTGGTCTTCATTCTGGGATTTTAGAAAAGGCATCTATGTGAGCAGGACTACATTTTCACACCCTCTGCATCTGTGGCCTCTCAAAATGCAGTGTCCCTTTTCGGCCATGCCTCTCCACCATGTACGGTGGGGGCAACAGTTCAATAAATAAACTTTTCCTGCCTGAAAATAAAGGGTAGTGTGTGTGCACATGTGTGTGCACACCTATACTGGGGCTTGAATTCAGGGACTTGTGCTCTCACTTTTTCCATCAAAGCTTGAGCTCTACCACGTTAGCCACATCTCTACTTCCAGCTTTTTTTTAATTAATCGGAGATAAGAGTCTCACGCACTGCTGGGCACTAGTAGCTCACATCTGTGATCCTAGCTACCCAGGAGGATAATATCTAAAGACTGTGATTTGAAGCCAGCCTAGCAGGAAAATCCATGAGACTCTTATTTCCATAAAACTACTAAAAAGCCGGAGGTAGAGGTGTGACTCAAGTGGTAGAGTACCATCCTTGAGTGCAAAAGTAAAGTGAGAGTAGGAAGCTCCCTGAGTTTCAGCAAGGCACATGTGTGCATGCACACACATGTGCACGTACATACACACACTCACACACACATTGTTGGTGCCTACCATTCCTGCTCCAGCAAGTACTACATCGGTTGAGCTCACCTGGCAATCTAAACATCATTTCAATCAATATTCTTCTGGTGAACACATTCTGAGATTCAAATAGTGCAAGTTACCAATGTCCTTTCTAAATTGATTTTTGTTGTTGTTGTTGGTCGTGGGGCATGAACTCTGGGCCTGGGCGCTGTCCCTCAGCTCTTCAGCTCAAGGCTAGTGGTTAATTGAAGGTAGAAGTCTTATGGACTTTCCTGGCCAGGCTGGCTTTGAACTGCGATCCTCAGATCTCAGCCTCCTGAGTAGCTAGGATGACAGGCATGAGCCACTGGTGCCTGGCTTAAATTGACTTCCTTAGAGTGCACTGAGTGAGGCCACCACGCAGGTCAGGCCTGACTATCTGGCTCCTCGGTGTTCAGACCTTCTGCCCCTCCAAATCCTCCTGTGGCGAGAATCCCCGGGGCTCCCACCTCTTTACAACCTGCTCTTAATCCGACTCTCTTCAATGTCCACTGCAATTCATGGTTCAGACAGCAGCTGGTGGGAAGCTTGGTTCTCAGTGCCAAGGTGGATGGTGGAAACTTTATGGTCTGGTGCAAGGTAATTAGGTTCTGGGGTGTCTTCCTCCGAAGCATTGGTGCTCACTCATGGGAGAGGGTTAGATCTTGAGGGACTGGATTCATTACGGAAGGAAGGGTTGTAATAAGGCCAGCCCACCCTACCTGCCTGGCCTCTGGTCTGTGACCCTGGTATGAACACTGTTAAGATAGCACAGAGAGTTCTCACTAAACTTCCTAACCTTTGACTCCAAACAATGGGCCAAGATAAAACTCTTCCTCCCCCCCACCCCCAATGCTGCGGCTTGAACCTGGGTGCTGTCCCTGACCTTCTTTTGCTCAAGGCTAGCACTCTACGACTTGAGCCACAGCGCTACTTCTGGCTTTTTCTGTGTATATGGTAATGAGGAATGGAACCCAGGGCTTCATGAATGCTAGGCAAGGACCTACCACTGAGCTACCTTCCCAGTCCAACTCTTTTCCTTTTGAGCTACTTGATCTCCAGTATTTTTCTTTTCTTTTCTTTTTTCATTGGTCATGTTGAGCTCAGGGCATGGGCACTGTCCCTGAATTCCTTTGCTTAAGGGTAGCACACTACCATTTGAGCCACAGCACCACTTCTGGTTTTCTGGTAGTTAATTGGAGATAAGTCTCAGATTTGCCTGTTCAGACTGGCTATAAACCTGAGATCTCAGCCTCCTGAGTGCCTAGGATTCCAGGTGTGTCACTGGTGCTCACTCAGCTTTGAAGTGGGCTTTATGCTTTTACTTATGAAATCAGCTTCCAACTTAATTGTGAATGAGAGCCTAAAATGGAAAGACAGATGAAACTGAACTCTACTCTTCTGGAAATGAGGGGATAGGAAGGGGCAGGCAGTTTGAAACTATCTTTAACCACCAAAAAACTGGAATTGGAGCTGTGGCTCAAGTGGTAGAGCACAAGCCTTGAGAGAAAAGGCTCAGGGACAGAACCCAGGCTTTTAGTTCAAGCTCCTGTACTGCAGGAGGACACACACACACACACACACACACACGACACACACACACACACACACACACACGTCTCCAAACTCTTTGAGGAGCATGTCTGAAAATCTCTACTGAAACAAAAACAGCAGATTTTAGAGACTGGAAATCTTTCTTAGAAACTCCTGCTTGTTATTTAGAGTTTCAGATTTCACCATTCCCATTCCATGGCTGCTGTGGAGACTGCAGTGGATAACATGTAACATAACTGAGATTTTGTAACAATATATAAATACAAGTGTCCATTCCTATTAATCCTTGACTTCAAAAAAGTGGCAAGGAAGCTGGGCGCCAGTGGCTCAGGCCTGTAATTCTAGCTACTCAGGAGGCTGGAATCTGAGGGTCACAGTTCAAAACCAGCTAGGCAGGAAAGTCTGTAAGATTCTTATCTCCAATAAACCACTAGAAAGCCAGAAGTGGTGCTGTGGCTCAAGCAGTAGAACGCTTGCCTTGAGCTGAAGAGCTGAGGGACAGTGCCCAGGCCCAGAGTTCAAGCCCCACCACCACCAACAACAACAAAAAAAAAGTGGCAACAAGCTAAGATAGTATTTGATGAGTTTTACTGAATCCTGAATGTTCTCAGGAAATAGCCAGGCACCTGATGGCTCATGCCTGTACTCTTACCTATTCGGGAGGCTGAGGTCTGAGGATGGAGATTAGAAGCTATTGTAATTAACCAACAAAAAAAGTAGGATGTGGAAATGTGGCTCAAGCAGAGTGCAAGTCTCCAGTGACTACGGCTAAGTGAGCGGACGAGGCCCGGAGTTCAAGCCCTCAGCCTTGAAACAGACAAAAAAGGAAGGGCCATAAATCCTCAGCTGAATGAAGTATGAGAAAACCAAGTTTAGTTAACAAAATACTGTCATCTAAATAGACCTACTGAAGAGTATACATAATTTTGATTGGCAACAGAAAATGATCTAACGAAGCTTATTTAACTGCTCTGAGAGTCCAATGTACCTCTGTAATAATTTAGGTTTCGGGGCTGGGAAGGTGGCTCAGTGGTAGAGCGCTTGCCTTGCATGCATGAGGCCCTGGGTTCGATTCCTCAGCACCACATAAGCAAAAACAGAA